CGATGGCTCGTGCTTATCGGTAATTCGTTGACCGAATTAGACGACGCTTCAGTCTAGATGTTGGGTCATTGGAAACTCATATACATAAACTCATATGTATAAACTAAGAGCCCGCAGATGGAGAAAAAAAGGGAGACCCGAGGAGGTCTTGGAGAGAGAAGTGGAAGTTCCAAAGTATTTTGTCGAGGACAGTCATACCGAGCGGACATTTTCGTGTAAAATAAAATTATATTTCTACGTTCGCAACCTCGAACGCTGATGTTACTCGTGCGAGATAAAAAATACAAACCGATACACAAAGGTACAAATGTGTTGGAGACGAGTTGAGATTTAATTTTCCAAACAGAACTAGATTTTTTAAATATAAAAATGGAAGAAGAGGATGGCTTCTTCAGGGTCTTACTCTCGAATCACAACACCTAAATTTTAAAGATATCCTTCGGTCGAGTTTTCTCAAACTTGCAACCCCAACAACGCTCAGCGTACAGCGTGTGAGGATGAAGACCGTTACCGAACACATAGCACGTAGGGATATACCGGGTGATTCTTACAACCAGACCAGGCTATAACTCTATTTCAAGTGAAATTAGAAAATAATCGTAGTGGAAAATTTTGTATTGTTCAAGTTACATCTATTATTATTCGAATATACAGTGAGTGTAAAAAGTATTCGTACACCCTTTAAACCGGAACAACTCTTTTAAAATTGGTCCAAATGACTTGAGTTTTTTTGTGAAGTTAGAGACATTAATTTACTAAATGATGTGAAAAAAAATTTTGAAAAAGTTGCAATTGGTCCGAATCGCGAAGAAAATATTAAAGATCGTGTTTTACAACTTTTTAATCTGAGGCTATAATGAAAATTTAATAAATACATATCGAAGATTTATGTTAGTTATGTACATACTGAAACTTTCATTGAAATCGGTTAATACAGAAACGAGCGACAGACATCAAAAGATGTGAGAATTGTTGGATTTACTACAGTTGTAGATCGAAAGTCGGGAAAAACTACGATTTTCAACATTTTTAATCGTTTGTATCTCGTAGCAACGTTAACCGATTTTGATGAAATGTTCAACATGTATATAACTAACATAAATCTTCGATATGTATTTATTAAATTTTCATTATAACCTCAGATTAAAAAGTTATAAAACACGATCTTTAATATTTTCTTCGCGATTCGGACCATTTGCAACTTTTTCAAATTTTTTTTTCACATCATTTAGTAAATTAATGTCTCTAACTTCACAAAAAAACTCAAGTCATTTGGACCAATTTTAAAAGAGTTGTTCCGGTTTAAAGGGTGTACGAATACTTTTTACACCCACTGTATGATCTTTTTTAGAAGTGCATCGGTGTACTTGATAAATATAATTGCATTCTTTTTTTTAATGGAACACTACGATTTTTTTGCACAAATCGATTCCTCATGTCATTCTGTGTATAAAAAGTGTAAAGTAAGGTACTTGAAAACACAACACTTGATGAGATATTTCACCTTTTAGACAATTACTATATCTATTAGCGTTGAATCATCACACCACTATCGTACTTAACGATGAATGTACCTTTCCTAATAATGAAATGCTTAATTGACATATTGAGCACATCTGGTCCACAAAAAATCCATATCTTATTGTTAGAAAAAGTACAAACAATCAGTTAAGATTCAACATTAATGTGTGGTGCGAAATTCTTGATGCATACGTGTAGTTAAAAAATTCAAGAACCGATATTTTCGAAGTTTTTTCTGTGAAAGAGTAACTTACACTGTGAATTATTGTATTTCCTTTGTTGAATACATATATTATACGATCTTACATATTTCTACATTTAGCGAAACAATATATAAATTAATAAAATTAAATTAATCACTTTTGTACACGATGCCTGGGATGGATGATCTTCGTAATAATCCTATTTAGAAGCATGAATTTGTTTTTTCGTGAAGTATGTACAAAAGAGAAGGATCATTGCTTCATGGGAACCACGAACAAGTAGTGGGTCTCATGTGTCGGGAAGGGAGAAGAGAGGAAAGTATATATGTAATGGTATTTTGGCTTCTCAATATTACCTCCTTAACGCACACATGGGCAAAGCGGAGGGGCAAATCCTCCGATTTGGAAAAAATCCCATTTTTTTCTTCTAAGGAAGGGCAGCCCCCCCCCCCCTCCCCCGAGTAAATAACATTATATTAACTAATATTTTGTACGTAAAAATGATTCTAAAATCGGGTTAATGTAATATTAAGAAACCTTGAAATAAATGTTGTCCCCTATGACTAATAACCTGGTTCCGTCCACAAACGCGCGCACTCGAATTTACTCGAGCAAACGGTATTACGCTGCGAAAAAACCATGCGTTAAAAGGTTGAAGAATGTATTGCATAATATTAATTTAAAATTATTTTCTTTTAGCTTATTTACCCACATATGTGATTAAACTACATCTCTTTGGCTGGTATATCTGTTTCTGTATACTATTCATAAAACCTGTTAATAATTATAATCACTCTAACAGGTTTTGGAAGTATATTGTCTGGTTTATTTTGTATAATAAATTTCTTCTCTTTATTCGTGGTAAGGTTTTTATTTAATGTGAATAAGAAGTTTCAATTATTTACATATATACGAAGAAAACGAGGCCAATTGTTGCAAATTTCTCAATGCAAGGAACTCACAAAACTCATACTTCAATATTTTCAATACTTAATTTTATATGTGTATAGTTGTAATATTAAACTAATTACCCTCTTATATAATTCTAACAATTGACTGTTTAAAAAACAAAACTGTTTAAAAAACATACTCATGTTTCCATAATTTTGTAACGTTATATATAACAAATTTAATTTATTCCTACTAATCATATAATTTTACCATACATCATATGTTCTCTTTATCTGTCATTAACATTTCATGCATGAAAAATGAAAGAAAAAACAGTTCCGTGAACGGGACTGTAATTTATAATACTTACGCTTAATCGTGTTACAGTATTATTTATTTGAATTCTACTTATCGTACAATTGCTGCTTTAACACGTGCTTCATAGTGTTGGTACTGCTGAACATTTTTCAATCTTAACATACATAAATCTAAAAATTATATGTTACGACTTTAATACAAGTAATCAGATAATCGTGACATAAGATCGTTTACTGAAGTATTGGGTATCAAGTTCGAAGACATTCGAATCCTTTCGCGTGTTTGTATTAATATTGTTCAGTGATTCTTCATGCTTTCAGCTATGCAGATAATACTGTGCCGAGAATCATTTCTTTTGAATTGTAGATAACATTTCTGTACAATTTATTAATTGTATTGAAAATTGTAGTACTGTCGCGGACATGGTAATTCCACGTATACGACATACGTATCAGTTAGTCAAAAATATAGCACTTACAAGGGAAGGCATGGAAGTGCCCCTCTTCGATTTTGATGAAACTTCGTATGTCTGTTAACCAGTCAAAAGTAAGAGATACGTATTTTTTTTATCGGCTGAGGCGCGACTTTAATAGGTGAAACCGCCACTCGAAGTTTCGAGCCGAAAGTGCTATCTCAAAAACCAGAGGAGATACATGACGTATCCCTTATTTCTGACTGCTTAACAGACATACGAAGTTCCATCAAAATCGGAGGGGAACACTTCAGTGCCTTCTCTAGTTAGATGAGGTTCTTATTTTCAAGAAAATCAATTTTGAACGTTCCATCGAATTTTTAATAGAATTCAGCTGTTAGGCCTGATCATATTCACTATTTCTTTTTTTGGCAAACATTGACGAGGATACCGGTTTGCCTCAAATTATTGCAAAATGTATAATAACATAATCTTGTGAATGTATAATAATCTCTGAAAGCTAGAGTAACAAAATTTATAATAACATTCTGACGTAAAGGGATCATTCCGAAAATGTATTGTACAACTACTAAGTTACGATAAAGAATAGACAATAAACAATTCTAATAGCAGAGACTGGAAGTGTCCTTCTTACAGCATAATATGTGTAGGCGGATCAAAAATATAGCGTTTCGTCTCGGGAATCGTTTACCAAGACTTGTCAGTGGGGCTGACGGTAAACGACCCCTACCCCAGACGCCTGGGTTGCTCCTCGGCGAAGCCCCTTAAGTAGCCAAAGGCTGCAATTATCGCTTGCGAGAAAACTCGCCACCTAGCGGTCGTTACCAAAAACCCAAGCGACTGGGAGAAACGTC